AGGTTGTGGTGCACCCAGATTACATCTTGACTACATAGACATTTTTAATTTGGATTTACCTGTCAACCTGCCACTCCACTCCAGCCTGGGTGACAGAGCAAGACTCTGTCTCAAACAAAACAAAACACGGCAAAAAAACAAACAAAAAAACCTCCCCAAAAAACAAAGTCAAGTGGTACCAAGGAAAGAATTAATGAATTAAAAGTATAAAAGTATATAGTAATCTCGAAATCCTGACACGTAGAACTTACCTATAAGTAATGTAATTAGTTTATATTATTAGATTGCAGTATTAGGAGCTCTATGCTTCTGCCTTGCCATGGAATATCAGAAGAGCATCTGGAATGATCATATTAGACCTCAGTCTGATCCTCAGCTCTGAACTCTTCACTCTTTCCCCTCATTCTGGACTTTATTTATTTGTTTGAGATGGAGTTTCACTCTTGTTGCCCAGGCTGGAGTGCAATGGCATGATCTCAGCTCGCTGCAACCTCTGCCTCTTAGGTTCAAGCAATTCTCCTTCCACAGCTTCCTGAGTAGCTGGGATTATGGTACCAGCCACCACGCCTGGCAATTTTTTGTATTTTTAGTAGAAATGGGGTGTCACCATGTCGGCCAGGCTGGTTTTGAACACCTGCCTGACCTCAGGTGGTCCACCCACCTTGGCCTCCCAAAGTGCTGGGATTACAGGTGTGAGCCACTGTGTCCAGTTCATTCTGGACTTTAAAAGTCTGTTTTGACAAAGGCTTATGATGCCTAAATGATCTGGCCTGTGCTACCCCTAGGATATTATCCTTCTGCTTGTTCCTTTATAGGCTCTCCCCAGCCACTGTGGCCCCTTGCTGATCCCCAGATACTCTGTGCACTCTTCCGTTTCAGAGCCACTGTGCTCGCAGTTTCCCTTTGCCTGGACCAGCTGTAGCTGTCTCCCGTATTAGTGTGGCTGTTCCCTTACCCATCTGAGGTGTTTACTCAATGTAAAAATGAGAAGATGAGGCCATCTTCTCAAAAGGGCCTTCCCTCTCTTTTGGCTCTAAGATTGCAACCCTCTCCCCAAGCAGAAACTGCCTATTACCTTGCCCTGCATGATTGTTTCCTTTGTATGTATTACTCTTTAATGTATCATATATTTTACCGATTAATCTTGCTTGTTAATTTCTCCCTCTACTGGAAAGTAAGCTCCATAGGGCAGAGATTTTAATCTGGTTCACTGATGAATTCCTAGCTCCTGGAATAGTGCCTGGCATAGAGTAGGCACCCAATAAGTGTTTCCTGATTGCATGAATGATGACATCTTCTATTTTTATTTGTCAACACTGGCAACCCTACTCCCCAGCGTAGGAAACATAGTTACCTGTTGCTCAAACCTATATCCACATAAGTTAAAATCCGAAAAGAGGACAGCACTTGCAATACTAGCTCTATTTACAAATCTCAACGAGGACCCTGAAAGGCCTAATTTAGTAACATACTCTCCCCTGTAGTGGTGATAGGGCTGTGGTGGTGTTGCAGGGTGCCAGGTCATGGCAATGGATAGCTTCACTAGCATCTGAAAGACGGGAGAAGAAGTTCTCCAACTTAAGAATGTCAAGCAGGCAGGCAGCATTAGTTCACAATAGGATCCAACACTTTTATAATGAATTGCTTTTTTAATTGTCTGTGCTGCCTGTTAGACTGTAATATAAGCTCTATGAAGTCAGGGAACAGCTTGGTATTGCTTGCCGTTATATCCTAAAAGCATGGCACACATCAGAATATACTTGTTCTCAATAAATTAATTAATGAATAAATTATTTTATATGTTTGTAAGTGAGTACATGAATGAATGAATGAGTGAATAGCAAACCACATTGAAGGCAAATTATTAACAGGTTGTTTTGTGGCATCAGTATAAGGGGGATGTTATGTGGCATAAATGTTTAATGGTATTATGTTGAGACAGCTAGATGGAACCATTTATAATTTGGATTTGCCTGTCAACTTGCCCAAATACTACTTTCCTGGAGTATTCAGGAATGAAAACTATGAATTTGCCTCAGGTAAATTTGTTTTCTTTGCTCCATTTCTGACTTGTTCCCTTTGAGATAATCACATTCCTTTTTTAGAAATGGAAAGACTTTCAGTTAGATCTGGATCTAGGTTGCAAGGATTTCTTTAAGGTGGGTTTTCTATCTCTCTGCTGGGGTCTATTGTGAGGAGCTTCTCTGTTTAAACTTTCTAAGGGAAATCCTTTTCCAAATATTTTGAGAGACACTTGACTGTCCCTCCCTCTTATCTCCACTGCCTTTTGTATAATGCTGAGATCTGGTTCCTAATAGCAACCACAAGGGAACACACAGTGTAAGGTACTAGCACAATCATTCATTTATTCATTCATTCAATATATATTTATAGAGTGCCTACTACATGCTGTGCACAATGCTAAGCTTTGGTGAGATAATGGAAAGCAATTGAACTAGAAGAGGAAACAGATGAAATAGTCAAACAAATACAGAATTTCAATCAGGGCACAGGTGGTATAAAGAAAATGACCTCAGTGCATTGTAGTTATTTAGAGGAGTCTTGGTCTATTCTCTGGGGCAAGAATAGATTTGACCAAGGAAGTGACATCTGAGCTGAGGTTTGAAGGAGGAATATAAGTTAACCATGCAGGACCTTAAATGTTTCGAACAGAGGAGATGGCATAAGCAAAGACCTGGAGATAAGGAGCTGCATGGCTTCTTTGAAGACGTGACAGAAGGCCAGAGTGGCTGCAGTTATTGATGTGGGAAAAAATTCTATGAAGAGAAGTCAGAGGAAGGCAGGAATCAGCTTGGCCTGGCCTTGGTATCCATGGTAAGGGTTTCATTTTTATTTGGAAAGATATGGAAAGGCATCTAAATGGTGGTGGAAGATGGCATCTGGATTTCCCTTTGGAATAGATCGATCTGATTGCAGAATGGAATAGACATTGGACAGATATAAGATTATATGATTGAGACCAGTTAGGAGGCAATTTGATATAGAAATGAAACTTTGGGGCCGGGCGCGGTGGCTCAAGCCTGTAATCCCAGCACTTTGGGAGGCAGAGGCGGGTGGATCACGAGGTCAACAGATCGAGACCATCCTGGTCAACATGGTGAAACCCCGTCTCTACTAAAAATTACAAAAAATTAGCTGGGCACGGTGGTGCGTGCCTGTAATCCCAGCTACTCAGGAGGCTGAGGCAGGAGAATTGCCTGAACCCAGGGGGCGGAGGTTGCGGTGAGCCGAGATTGCGCCATTGCACTCCAGCCTGGGTAACAAGAGCGAAACTCCGTCTCAAAAAAAAAAAAAAAAAAAAAAAAAAAAAAAGAAATGAAACTTTGAAAAATGTATTTTTACGTTCCTTGACAGAATACTGAGTCCTCTGCTTTATCAGGCCTGTCAGCTAGAAGTTCTCATTTGGAAACTGGTGGGGGATTTTATTCTAATCTTGTCATGCTGGAGAGCAGGAGTGCCCGGAGCAGGGCAGCTGGGTCTGTTGAATGAATAGATGCAGTTTTGGGACTTGCTGTCTTTGAGGTATCAGTACAGTGATGGAGAAAAGTCAACCAGACCCCAGTGCGGTGGCTCACGCCTGTATTCCCAGCACTTTGGGAGGCCTAGGAGGGCAGATCACCAGGTTAGGAGTTAGAGACCAGCCTGGCAAACATAGTGAAACCCCATCTCTCTTAAAAATATAAAAAATTAGCCAAGAGTGGTGGTGGACACCTGTAATCCCAGCTACTGTGGAGATTGAGGCAGGAGAATCACTTGAACCCAGGAGGTGGAGGCTGGGGAGGTGGTTCTGATAGTGGCAGGCAGTAAGTCCTAGAGCTGAGGTTGGGAGACAGCCACACACACACACACACAAATCATAATTGGACCTGTAACTGTGTTTGGAATTGTTAAAGAAGATCACTTTGGTAAAGGAGTCTAAAGAAAAACACCTATATTTAAGGAATGGGTACTATGTATTTATTCATTTCACAAGTAATTATTAAGTTGTCTTCTATGTGCCTGTACCTGGGCTGTGAGTGACAGATGAAGTGGTGGAAAAAAGCAGTTGGGGATAAAAACAGAACTCTGCAAGTGTGAAGTAACAAACTCCAAGGAGGAAGGAAGGGTAGCCAATGGTTCAATTGCTGCTGAGGAAGAAAATGCAGTGAAAGCTGAGATGATGACTTTGAGTTTGTGGATTAGCCTCCACCCTAGATAGCACACATTAGAAACTTGGATGAGTAAACCTGGGCTAGTAGTAAACAGACCCGGGGACTGCACGTAAGGGACCCTGACAAAAACTTCCTCCTATTTTAGAACTTTACAGGAAGATGAGATTTGACACATATTTCCCTTTATATCTCACTTCCTTGAAATACATCTATTCCATCTACAGAAAGAGAGCTGTACCTTCCTGGGCCTGCCATGGCTGACAGCCAAGAGCAGAGATGTTGTAATTTGAAGTTGACAGCAAGATGACCCTTACAGGGTCACTATAGTTTCTGTCTTGTGGCAAATCCTCCTGCTGAAATATGGAGGTGCCATGATGTTAAATCAATAGTAGTGAGTGATGCGAAGATTTGAGTTGAAGCTAAACATAGCTTCCTTGGATTTTACCATTTCATTTTTCTTGCTGGACACCACTTTAGAAGAAGAATCACCTCTGGATAAATCATCTGCTCAGGTTTGCTATTCTAACCAAATGATATTATCCAAAGAGGATCAGAAAAGCCTGAATGTTAATTGTATTCATTTAGGGTTCCACGTAAGGCTTGTGTTGAAGACAAAGTCTCCCTACGGAATTTATGAAGTAGCAGAAACAAACATTTCTGTTAGAGATATTTGGAAAGCTGTGATTACCAAGTACAAATTTAACACAAAGTAATTCAGTAATAAAAAGGTTGTGAAAGAATAACAACATTAGAGCTAAATAATATTCAAAGTTTTATTTTCAATAATGTGAGAAGAAAATGAATTTGTTATTTGTTGCTGTTCAACAAACCACCTCAAAATGTGAGGACTTACAAGAACCTCTGGCAGTTTAGGCTGGGCTTTGGGCCACAGTTCTTCTAGTCTCAGTTGGGCTTCTTCATGCATCTATAGGCAGCTGCCTGCAGACAAGCCTGCCATTAGGCAGACAAGTCTTGCCATGGCAACTGGACAGCATTCCTCGAGGTATGCTTGAAGACCACTTGAGGCATGGCTCAAAATTGGTACAGCATTTTGCCACATTCTGTTAGCCAACGCAAGTCACAACATCAGTTCAGATTTAAAGGGTAAAAAAACACAACTCTATCTATTGATAGGGAGGGGGACTAACTGCAAAATTACACCGTAAGGAGGTAATTTTGGCCATTTTTGCTATCTACTGCAGATAATGTATCCTTTTTATATATAGGTAGATAAAATGTACAACATTTGAACACTACCTTTGGAAAGGAAAATATTTTCATTCTTTTCCTTGATGGCAGTTTCAAACTAGGACCTTCCTTAAAGCAACCAGTGAGGATGAAATTGTGTTAATAAAATCATTTTCTACTTCATTTTTGTTTCTGTAACTGTAAGGAAAATCCTCATGTTTTCAGTGGCTGTTACTCTAGGTCTGTGTGACATGACCAATCATAGACAAAGCAGAACTTCTTAATGGCAAGAAACACTATCTAGCTTCTGGCCTAGTAATCTTGTATAAAAATTTCAGAATTGCCATTGGGAAACTAACATTTACTTGACAAATGGTGCAATTTCCATTTTGTCTGCCCAATTTTAAACTGTCTCTTATTAAAATGGCAAATTCAGGCCCAGAATATATCGAACAAGTTAAATACATAACTGGAAGATACACACTTTACCACTTCACTTTGTAACATGTAGACTTATGGATGCAAGGACATTTCATGGAAGGGAAGTTTTAAATTATTTTGCATGCATATAGAGAAAATAAAACTTTTTGATGTCTCGGCTCAAACTGAATGGGATCTCAATAGCCCATGTAGTACTTTAAGATGATTTATTATTATGCTAATATTGTAATGTAATATTTATTAAGCATTGGAAGCGTGCAGAATACTAGATAGTCCACATAAAAGATCCTGATGGATTTCAAGGAAAAGGGCTAAAAATGCACTCTCCTAATCCACAGGAAAAGAGGGTAATTCAGAATCTAGCTGAACCAATAAATCCTATTTAATTTAGCATACATCACATGCCAAAGAAAGAGAGACTAATGGAAATGGAAAGTGATAATCTCTGATTAAAAGGTAGTCATCTTAAGAGCACACGTTCCTCTCCAGACTTGTGTTTAGAAAGAGTCAATTCAGTAAAATATTTCTCATTTAAAAAAAGTTTGGGCCAATAATCCTCTGCATTATTACCCGACGTTCTAAGATCATAAGTTAAAATGGTTTCTATAGAGACTAGCTTTATAACTATTATCCCAAACTACAAGATGAAATGCTTTTAAAAAAATTATGCCTTAAACTGTAACGTAACAGCATCACAATAAAATTTACAATGTTGGCATAAGGCATTTAGAAGTCTCAGACTAGAGTTATAAATCTGCAGTAGGAGAACAATTTTTCCCAGACTCAAAAACTACTAACATCAAAATCCCCCTAAGTAAGTCTTTTATCTAAAAAAAAAAATACACATAATATAAGGAAACAAGAGCTTAGTTTGCCATAATTCTGCACTTTACTTTGCTTAACCAGTTTAGATCTGGAGGGAGGAAAAAAGTAAAGCCAAAGCTAAAACGGGGCATAGAAACAGCATTTCCTATCTCATATAATCATGCTTACTGACTAAGGGTTATATCTTCTGTTCATCTTTAAGTAGAATTCCCACAGAAGTTGATGAAAATATTTGGTGAAAATTGATTGAAAAATAAGTTCTTTCTCTCTCGTATGCTCTCTGTCTGTTTATATGCTCCTTACAGATATGCTGTGTGTGTGTATCAACAAAATTAAAAAAAATATTATTAGCCTTTTGGAAGGTTCTAAGCAAGCAAAAGAATACAAAAATGCATAGTTACATGCTTTTTTTTTTACCCTGTTGGGAGAAACATATCCTAATTATTATTTTGAATGCAGAAAACAAGTACAAATTAACTTTGTTTCTGAATATTCTATTTAGAATCCTGCTCTAAAAAAAAATAATGCTGTAGATGTCTATGATTACCATTGTAGTTAAACCTAAGTACAAATGTTTATTTTCTTTGGTAATATACATTCATGGTAATATGTATTATTTAAAGCAAGTAATATAGTATGCTATTTAAGAATTTGCAAAGAACAATTCAGGAGAGTATATTTTTTAAAACATAATGTATATATTTTCATTTTTTAGAGACAGGGCCTTGCTGTATCATACAGGCTGGAGTGGTGTGACCATAACTCACTACAGCCTTGAATGACTGGGCTCTAGAGATCCTCACACCTCAGCTGAGTAGCTGGGACTACAAGTATGTGCCACCAACACCTGGCTATTTTTTTTTTTCATTTTTAAGGTATGTACTTTTATTCAACTAGTGTTCACTTTTATTCAACTATTCAAGCCAGTGTACAGGTAAGCCCTGGCTGCCTCCACCCACTCCCAGGGAAACCAAAAGCCTTCATACATCTCAAGTTGAGGGATAAAAAAGGGGTAGCCACAGAGGCTAAAATCTTTCCAAATAAAACAAAATAAAGTATTAAGGCATAATTTAAAAAATTTTTCATTACATAATTTACACAACAGCGATGCTATTACCTCCCCTGTGTGGCCTTGGGAGAGGACTGGGCCATTCTCCTTAGAGAGAAGTGGGGTGGCTTTTGGAAGGGCAAGGGACTTCCTGTAACAATGCATCTCGCGGTATTTGGAATGACTATTTTAAAAAAGAACAATGTACAATCAAAGTCCTGGGCCTCATCATAGAACTCTGAGGGATGCTTGCTCCAAGTGACTGCTGTCACCTTTACCGTCCCAGTTTTTAAATCCTGAGTCAACCCAAAAACAAAAACAAAAACCCCAAACAACCAAAAAACAAATAAAGCCACGCCAATCTCGTTTTCTTCCCAAGTTAGGTTTCGTCAAGAAAGGGTGTAACGCAACTAAATCACAGTCTGCCTAGAAGCATTTGCAGTAGATGACAGAGGGGCTGGACTCGTGGTACTCCTGCTTGCTGATCCACATCTGCTGGAATGGGGACAGCGAGGCCAGGATGAAGCCGCCCATCCACACGGAGTACTTGCGCTCAGAGGAGCAATGATCTTGATCTTCGTTGTGCTGGGCACCAGGGCGATGATCTCTTTTTGCATGATTTTGGTGATGCCAGGGTATATGATGGTACCACTAGACAGCACTGTGTTGGCATACAGGTCTTTGCGGATGTCCACATCACACTTCATGATGGAGTTGAAGGTTGTTTCATGGATGCAGAGATTCACAAGATTCCATGTCTAGGAAGGAAGGCAGGAAGAGTGCCTCAGGGCAGTGGAACTGCTTGTTGCAAATGGTGATGACCTGGCCATGGGGCAGCTCATAGCTCTTCTCCAGGGAGTAGCTGGAGGCTGCCATGGCCATCTCCTGCTTGAAATCCAGGGCAAGGTAGCATAGCTTCTCCTTGACGTCACACATGATTTCCCGCTCAGCCATGGTGGTGAAGCAGTAGCTTGGTGAGGATCTTCATGAAGTAGTAAGGTCCCAGCCAGCCAGGTCCAGATGCAGGATGGTGTGGGGGAGGGCATACCCCTCATAGATGGGCACAATGTGGGTGACCCCATCACTGGAGTACATCACAATGCCAACACCTGGCTACTTTTAAGAATATTTTCTGAGACAAGATCTTGCTATGTTACCCCAACTGGTCTTGAACTTCTAGCTTCAAGTGATCCTTGGCTTCCCAAAGTGCTGGGATTACAGGCTTGAGCCACCACACTCAACCAGGACAATGTACTTTGTTCTGATGGATCTTTTAGGTTTGTAAAATACAGATAAACTTTATTTGGTAATTTTAATTAAAAAATCTGAACAGGGAAATAGAGAGAAGTAGAATGTATATGCACATTTTGATAGTAAAAGACAACCTGAAAATGGCTTATGGGAATAAAATTACTTACCAATTTAAGCTTTATGGTTGAAAACTGGTCACCTAACTGTACGTATGGTATATATCCTGAAATCTAGATAATGAAAAGTGATGTGGAAATTGGTTACATCAACCAGTCCTTGCTTGCTTTTTTTAAAAAATTACATATGAGCGCATACGCATTTGTAATACATAGAAGCATAACATATATTTACATACGTGCCAAATTATATGGTTTATGTTGTTTACCAAAATGACTGCTGAAAATTCTGTGTGTTTAAGAAATTTTCTATGTTGGTTTTATTTAAAATATGTTTTAAAACAAGCAAAACAACAAATAGACTGAGTTCATAAATAAAAGCATTTTAAAATGCCTCTTTCAGGATATTGCAGCAACTTGCAAAACTGCTTCTGTTTCTCTGTGGATTTAAGGAAATGAATTTCAGTAAATCCCAGAAAAGGAAAGGGAGAATGAGGAAGAGGGAGAAAATTCATGATGGAAGTCGAAGGTCACAGGACTGAAAGGAGAGATGTAGTACTCTATAGACTTTTTTTTTCAGATTGTACACAGAAGAGATAACTAGATCAGGAATAGAAAAGGAGCTTTTCTTAAAGTCTCTGAGGAGAGAAAAGCCAGAAAAGAGTTATTTCTGAAGATTCTTAGGAACTTGTTATAAAAAAAGGTAGGGAGGGGAGAGTGCTTTATTGGTAACTTCAGTCTGTGGGCAGGACAGCTGAGTCATATTTTGGTGATGGGATCTGAGCTTCTTGGAGCTTCAGAATTTATTCTAAATGTTCTAGGAAAATAGCAGGGTTAGCTTAAATACCATTATGTTAGTCTTCTGTTAGAAAGCTTTATGTTTAATTATTATTTATTTAATTGTTGCTCTCCAGTTTATTTCCTTTATTATCTCTTCTAGATACTAGCTCTAATTTAACTGCCATACTAAGAGTTGCTTAGTCTATGGACTGAGGAATTTGATTTGCCAGCTTATTTCATTTATTTGTCCAGACACCTGAGGCAACAGAACTCTAATTCTACCTGGTGGCAGCTAATTCAAATTAAAAACTAGTCTAAGAAAGAAGATTAATCCATATTTAAGCTTTGCCCTGCAACCACATCTTGGAGATGGCACTCACAGACAATTTTGTGCCACGTAAAAATTATTTAAAAGTATCAGTATCACTTCACATTAATAGAGATCATGAAATTGTCTAAGGTATCAATATTCTGGCCTAATTGTGAGTTGGGCTAGTACTCCAGATAAATAAGTACAGAACTTACTTTTGCCTGAAATATTAAAGTAGTAAGTAAAAATAAATTACCTGGATCAGTGGTTCTTAATCCTCTATGCTTATTAGTATTCTCTGGAGAGCTTTTAAGAATTGTAGATCCCAAGTCCCCCTCCGTTATAACCAACTAAAACAGGGATTGGAGCCCTGGGATTGTGTGTGTGTGTGTGTGTGTGTGTGTGTGTGTGTGTTTTGTTGTTTGTTTTTAACGCTCTGTAGGTGATTCTCATTTGTAGCCAAGGTTAGAACACTGATCAAGGTAGTTCAAAAAATTAAATACATAAATTCCTATTTGTGCTTTGAGGCATATAAATTGTTGCTTCAATGGTACTTGCTTTAAAACCACCAATGCACCCAGTGGCCTATAGCTTTAAATGGAAACATTGTTAGAATTGCAGATAAGCCCTTTTATAGTCCATTACCAACCTGTTTTTTCAGATCTCAGCTCCCTACAACACTGTCTTGTCAAACTCAAAGTATTTGAACACTCTCTGCATTTTCTTGACTCCATGTTGTTAGGTTCTTGCTGTTTTCTTTCTGTTATACATTCACCTTCTTCTATATCTGGCAAAATACTTGTATTCTAATGGCCATTTAAAGGTATTTAAAAGTCATTGCTTCTGTGACACTGGGAGAATTATAATAAAATCATTTCATATAATGCTGATTTGTATAAATTTAAATCACATGAATGTTTTCCTGAAGAGACAAAGTCACATTATCTAACGGAAGTGTACAGTTAATAATCGGGCTCTTCAAACTCTATTCAAGTACAGCAGGTCCTCAACGCCGTTTGGTTCAACGTCACTCTGTCATAATGGTGATGAGAAAAAAAATCAATTCCAGGCCATGGCCACTGTCTGTGTGGAGTTTGCACATTCTCCCCACGGTCTGTGTGGGTTTTCTCCGGGTACTCTGGTTTCCTCCCACATCCCACAGCTGTGCTTGCTAGGTTGTGTCTAAGCTGTGCACATGTCTAAATATTCCCAGTATGAGTGAGTGTGGGTGTGAGTGTGAGTGCATCCTGAGATAGAAGGGTATCCTGTCCAAGGTTACTTCCCTCCTTGAGCCCTGAGCTCTGGCCACCCGCAATCCTGAACTGGAAAAATTGGTTAGATGATTTTACTTGTTTTTATTAATCTTTCTCAAGTGTATATCTAGCTCACTTTTATTTCAATGTTTAACATTAGAAGTGTTTTGGCCTTTATTTGGAAGTTTGGTGATGTTTTTGTGACCGAGATATGCACAAGAATTTAACTCTTGTTTATATCAAGTAGCCTATCGTGAAATTGGTTTCCTTATATATGCCACTTCATTTAAAGCCACAATTTCCAAGAACCTATTCCTGGCATTAAGTAAGGACTTACTATATCTATCATCCAGCCACCTAGTAATTTCAATACCAATAATGACTTAGGCACATAATCCCAGAATAATTTGATTTAGGTTTATGAATTGTTTCATGTAGACATTCGAGTTACGTTATGAACAGCTGCAAATTTCAACATGTTATTCCAATCTTATGAATCACTTTAAGGAAGATCACAATGTATACTTTTTTGTTTTTCTGTTTAATATGGGCTATTCAAACTTTGAACAATAGAGATATTTAAAATATTAGGACATCTGTATTTTTCTGATGTATTGAATTTTCCTATTTGGTTGTATGTATTTCAAATGGGAAATGAGTGTATACCATTTCTTTTTCTTCACCTTTTTTTTTGGCTTTAATGCCACAGGAAGCCAGCTTGCTAGCTCCCCGTTACCTGATAGTTTCCTGACTAAAATGACTCTTCAGTGAGGATCAGCATTTTACCCAAGACAGGAGTCATGAATTTTTTTTCTAAAGATACACATATCTCTTAAAAGGGTCCAGAATATTTCCTGCAAAACTGCGTCTGTCATATGAGCACCTATTAGAACCACTAGCAGAAAAGCTAAGGAAAGAAATTCATCTTTCCTGCAACAGAAAAAGCAGACACACCCTAAAATGAGCCAAGAACTTGAACATCAGCAAGATTACAGACCAGGGAAAGAAGTAAGTAACATTTTAACTGAAAATTTGATTTGAAAAATAAAAGCTTATCCGTTGGTTCTCTTACTTAACTTTTCCCACTTCTTTCTCACTGCTGGAACTTTGTGAAACATACAGATGACGGAGGAGCATTCCTGTTGACATTATGAATTTCAATTTTTAATAATTAGGCAGATGGTTGGTTTGTGGTAGAGTCCATTATTGTACAGATTGCAATTTGTTATCTAGTCACAAAACGTAAGTTACTTTCCTAGGACGATTTCGGGATCTCTTCAGATAGAAAATATTACCGTAATTGAAAAACGACCCAACTTTTAGCCAAAAGCCTGTAACATCTTGGTAAATCCGTGCCTCTGTGAACTGTTTCTTTTCCTCTCAAGTCTTTATTGGTCGTAGCCCTAGATTTTTCATCAAATTCAATCCGGAGTGAGCTGCAGGCGATGCCCCTACTGGGTGCGGACTGCAGGCCGACCACTGGAGGGCGTCTGGACGCTTCCAAACAGCTCTGAAGCGCCTGGAAATCCCGAGTCTGAAGAATGGAAAGCGCAGGAGGCAGAACGTGAGATTTGATTTTATTGGGCTAATAAGTAAAAAGGAGAGCAGGCAGGTGTGGGAGCAAAACTAAACTGCCTTTTTTTTTCTCCTGGGGATTTGCCCTTCCCACTAATGCAGCAAATTCCCTAGAGAACATGAGAAAAATACCACTGCTCCCGAGCCCGCGGACCCCGCAAGGGCGGGTCTCGGGGGCATGTGGCCCCGCAGAGCAGGCGTCGTGCTCGCTCCCCGGGCGCTGGACCTCAAGGGGACGCATTCCGAGGCGCTGGGACAGTCTCGCTGCCAGGAGATCGCGCTTCGGTGGCGGCTGAAGACTCAGGAGTGCAACCTGCCCTTGAAGTTTAGGACCAAGGGGCCTTTTCCAACAATAAAGGAACTGCTTTCCCTCTCTCATCCCCCTCCCCCGGCCTCCGTTTCTTTCCGCGCCGGATTCGTTAAAGGCGTTTATTCTTTGGGGAGTGGGCAGCAAATCACCCTCCAGGTTGAAATGGAAGAGGTGTGAGGTATTTCTGAAGGGCTCGTCTGCCGCATTCATTTCCTCTCTGTGGAAGGTTCGCACTGAATTGTAATCACTTTAAACTGTGATGTGCCTGATTTTTAAAAACGTGTTTTCAGAGCATCACTTTAAAGAAAACTTGCTTCCTGCCCAAGAATCTTTAAATCCCAAGCAGGGAGTGGAGAGCCGAAAGGCACAGGAGGGGGTGCTCAGATTCCCAGATCACCCAGCGCCCGGCAGCGTGCGGCGAGGAGAGCGGAGGGAGATTGACAGGAACGCGCACTCCCTGAGGCTCCGTTCCAGCCCATTCGCTACCTGAGGGGCCCCAGAGACAGACGCCGGCTCTCCACCCAAATGGTGGGCACCGGTTTCTTTAAAATCGAAAGACCCTACTCCCAGGTAAAAAGATGTCAAATCATTTCTTAACTCAGACGGAATTCAGCACCCAAAGGGTTACACGTGACTGCTGGGCTCGGGCGCAGGAGAGGGCGCCTTGGCACTCCCAGTAATTCAATTAGTCAGGTTTCTGGAAGGTGGGGCGGGGGGGAGGGGATAGGAGGCGTGGGGAAGGGAGGAGATTAGGAAAACGCCTCTTTCTCGTGGAGCAAACCAATCCGGTTGGAGTAAAGAGAGGAAAAACCCCCAATCTGTAAGCAAACAGCAGGCTGTTCCCTGACTGGCTGCTCCAGCTGCCCCCCCCCCCCACCTTTCCCAAGTAAACTGCATGGAAGAAAAAAAAAAAAAAAAAGAAGGCAGTCCACATGACCCGGGTCGCCGCGGCAGCAGCGCTGGCTGGGCGCAGGCTGGCGGCGCCTCCCCCTGCTCCGGTCGGAGCTCACACCCGCGCTCGCGCCGCCCGCCCGCCAGCCCCGCTCCCCGCGCCCCGCGCAACACGCCCGGGCGGAGCCCCATCCCCCGCCCACGTCCACGTTCACGCGCGCGGCCTCGCGCTCTACTGAGGCTGCTGCTGCTGGGTCGCTGCCGCTGTCGGCTTTACACGCAAGTCATTAACGAGGGGGCGTGCCCGAGGAGATTTTTCCCATAAAGCATTTTTTCTCTCCCTTTTTTTCCCCCTCTTTTGCAAAACTGACTTTTACAAAACCCTTTCCACTTCTTGCCAGTCGTTTCAATCCCTCCAGGGCTGCTCGTGCTGCTGCTGCTGCACTCAAGTTTATTTATTTTCCCGCCTGGGTAGGGGTTTTAGGATTCAGTTGGTGGTTTTCACCTCTGTTGCTGCTGTGTCTAAGGAGGGAGAGAGGAGCAGCTGCGGGAGGATCGGGAAGGTTTTCTGATGTAGTCATTGGGGAGGTGCCACTCGCTTGTGCGCTCTCTCTCTTTTTTTCTCTTTTCCCATTTCAAACTGATTGATGCGTCTCTACAAGTTGCTAGGCTTGGACCCTCCGGAGTCGCAGGGACACTTCTGAGAGCTCACCCGGGCTCTTGGCAGCGCGTGTGGGGGCTCAGTCTCCCTCCCGGAAGGCGATCAGAGACTGACATCAGCCCATCCAGGAGTTGGAGGGATCCATTTGGAAAGTGATTGTTTCCCCTCCAGCTCTCCAGCCGAACTGTGGGGTTGGCGTCGTCTTGCAGGTTTGGGCATCCCAGCACCGCCAGGCTGGCTGGTTCTTAACCTCTGCTCTTCATTCACTCTGGTGCACCCACATCCAGTCAAAGAAAGCACGCGCGAGAAATCCCCGAGGCTCTGCCGGCACCCGGGGTGCCCTCTTCTGCTACCGCCGCGGTCCGACTCCGCCGAGGGACCTGCCGGAGACGTGAAGAGCCAAACTTTTCTTTGAGGTTTTCGAGGCAAGACCGCTTCTCGCCAGCGCAGCTGCAGCTTAACCAGTTCCAGGACACCGGCAGATCTGGGTTTGCGGCTCCGGATCCCCACCCTTCTCAGCGCACCGCCCGGTACCGCAGCACCTACGACTCCTCTGAGATTTCCGGGGGTCGCCCGGCTGAGGCACAGAGGAGGCTGGGGAAAGGGGCTCTAAGACTCCCGGGACCACAGCGCGCAGCCCCCATCTGCACGTCGCCCTCCTGCAGTTTCCCACCGGCCTCCAAAGTAACTTGAAGCGAAGCGGGGCGCAGTGCGAGGGCCCCGGGCGGCGGCGGAGCCGTGCTTAGCCCGCAGCGCCGACGCTGAGCCGGGCCCGGCGGGCCGGTGTATGTCTCCCCGCGGCTGCGGCGCGCAACTCCCGGTGACTGTGCAGCGCGCGCCGCCGCCTGCCCCGACCCGCGCTGCAGCCGCCCGGCCCGGCGCGCACCTCCCTCTCCCGGGGTGACCGGCCTGCCGCCGCCGCCCGAGACACAGCTTGGCACCCCTTCCCCCGCCCTCGCCGCCGCCACCACACACACGCACGCTTCTCTCCATCTTGTGATTCCTTTTTCCTCCTGAACCCTCCAGTGGGGGTGCGAGTTTGTCTTTATCCCCCCTAGCCCATCGCCTTTTCTTCTCGCTCTCCTACCCCTCCCCAGCTTGGTGGGCGCCTCTTTCCTTTTTCACCCACCTTCATTTTTATTTATTCATATTTATTTGGCGCCCGCTTTCTCTCTGTCCCTTTCCGCCCTCCCTACGGATCCCCGCTCTCTCCCCGGAGTGGCGCGTCGGGGGCTCCGCTGCTGGCCAGGCGTGATGTTGCACGTGGAGATGTTGACGCTGGTGTTTCTGGTGCTCTGGATGTGTGTGCTCAGCCAGGACCCGGGCTCCAAGGCCGTCGCCGACCGCTACGCTGTCTACTGGAACAGCAGCAACCCCAGGTAAGCCGGTAAGGGGCGGAGAGCCGGGGCTAGTCGGGCCTCTGGGCCCTGCGGAAGGAGCCGCGGCGGGGAACGGCGCGCACTAGCCGCTGGCGGCGCGCGCCCTCGGAGCCTGCGTCGCCCGGGCGCTGATGGCTTGAGGCGTCGGCGGGAAACGCTCGCGTCGCGCCCCTCTTTGTTAAGGCCAGGTGCCCCTGGGAGTCCCTGGGGCTGCCCAGACCAACTGCTTCTGCCAAGCGCGGGGAGACTCGGCAAAGGGCGGGAGCTGGGGAGTAGGGACTTCGCTTCACAGCCCCGGCAGGCTGGCAGGCATCCGGATCCCGGCGCGGGGAGCCCCCAGTGTACCCCGCTGGGAGCTCCTGCCTGGAGCGTGGGTCCGCAGGGACTGCGGAGAGAACCCGCCAAACATCCCCCAAAGTTTTTTTTTTTTATTTAAAAATTTCCTTCT